TGTCAATTTCGATGGTCGGCTGCACCTCAGATAGGGGAGTACGACGAGTCAGTGCAGTTCGTCTTCGCGTAATGGTATGACGAGTAGAGAGTACCCTTGTTTCCGTCAACCTCCGACGACCGCGGATACCCTTTTGAACGGTGGGGTTGCGTGAGGAATGAGAAGAGGGAGCCGACGGTTTAGTGTTCTCGTCTGGTGGTGAAGCAGCTGCTGGGATTGTCGAAGGGCTTGAAGCGGTCGAATTACCGGCCTCTGGATTGTCCGAATTGGCAAATGCACCCGGTTCCAATTCCCAGGCAGCATCTCTGTGTGAGAGTAGATGAAGATGATAACTCTGAGGATAAGTCTTCACTGTTATAAAGATGAAATGGTTTCAACTGACCGACAGCAGTTATTTCATTTTACTTTTCAGTAAATGAAACAGATTGTACTTTTAAGACCATCTTTTATCGGAAGCGTGTGGTGGTAGAACCATTGATATATACCTAAAGAAATTGGCAGCTGTCGTTAAGAAACTGTCAAACACCTGGTTACTTCCTAAGTTAAGTGCTTCGAGAGCTCGCCTGCTAGTTAATTACTCCCAGTCAAAGTGGATTTTACAACGATAACTAGAGAAAGCTAAAAAAACGTTCTTATCCAGCCTTTATTATCTTTGGAACGTCCAAAGTCAAACAATACTTCCCGATCTTATCAAATGGAGCAGAAAAGTTAAAATAGGGTGGCTAAATGCCGGGTAATTATCTCACTGTTTCTTTGTTATTATACGCAAAAACTAACGTTGATCAATGTCGCTCTAACACATGCCCTCGGAATTTTGTTTTATCCGGTGTATACTGCACAAAAGCTTAAGCACAACTTATTGCGTTCCCTGACAAGAGGCTAAAAAGCAGTGTTTCCTAAACCATTTCCTTGTTAATCCCTGCGCCAATAAAAAGTTACCTTTTTTCTTCCGAAGGTGCGCAAAAAATTCTCAATTTTACGATTTGGAAATCTGTAGTACTATCGAAAGCGGAATTACAGCAAAGGATAGTAGATAGCTAATTAGATCAAATGTCAACCCTTTCCACTGCCAGTTGAGGCCGGCGGGGCACGGT